TCAATTGTTTCATGCACTTTTTTTAGTTTGTTTTATTTATGTACTTGTCTTGTGCACACAGGGGACTCTTGTAGATGTATTCCTATATTTCATTGATATTTCCAGTGCATTCATTTGCATTGTGATTGGAGTAAAGGGATGGTACAGTGGCAGAGTGGTTAGCAATGAGTTGATTCTTTCTGAGTGAAATTTGCGTCTTCTCCCATGCGGTTTCCTGCAGGTGCTCCGATTTCCCCCATTTTTAAAAACATTTACAATAGCTCCACTATCTCTGGGGCCAGGACTCCCCTGGAAAAAAGATACTGAAATCTCAGAGGGACTTTCCTGGTTAAATAAAGGTCAATAAATAAAAGGTCAATATAGTCACCTAGTATTCAGGTTTTAGTACATGAGGATTTTCCCAACCAAAATGTCTTAAGGCTTTTAATATGTTGTGCTGGACACAAAAAAAAAAAAAAACATTCACAGTGGGGGTGAAACGAATTTTGCCCCAAAATCAACGACCATCTCCTAATGCTAATCAAATAGGAAAGCTAGCATAGCCACCAATGCAGGCCAGAAGAAATTTAAAAATAAAAAAAATACAAATTAGGCAGTAGGGCAGTGACTCAAGAAGAAATACTACAAATATGTAAGTGTTAAATGATTTCTACGGACCAAACATGTTCACATAGAAAACGTATCATAGAGCTTGGTTTCTTACCGTGTCACCAAAATATATGCTGCCATCGTGTGGTGACTACCGGAAGTTGCAAGTCAAACACACTAACATTTAAGAGACAATCTAGTGACTAGGGATGTAAATCGGTGACCGTTTAACCGGTGGTTGACCGTCACAGCGTTAACCGGTCAAAGCTGTCGGTTAAAAAAGAGAAAAGGGGGAGAGGGGAGGTCTCTTCATAACGCTATTTTAAGCCCTATTTGCACGATGTGACGAGCGGGTCCCTATCTACTGTAGCTGTGTGCGCCAATGTAACAGTAAACTCTGGGCCGACTCTCACGCCGTACGCGCCACATATGCACGCACACATGTACACGCACACACACACACATCCCCCCTCCATTGACACGTAACATCCACACGCATCATCTCTCCCCTGTGTTACCGTCTGCTAGTTGCACACTGGCGCGGGTCAGAACTACATTGGAGCTTATATTTACACACACATACATACATGTATTGCACACACACACATACATATACACACACACAGACATATACACACATACATACATGTATTGTACACACACATACCGGTCTGTCGCGCTCCTCTGTGTCACGGAGCCCAAAGCATTCTTGCAAATACACGGCTCCAGTCAAACCACATGGACCATGTTTGTGCTGCTGGTCCTTGGCATCAGCTCCACACTGATCACTTTTAAACTTTAGCGGAGACCTGCGAGACGCGGCTCGTCACTCGCTGCCCTGACCATGTGGACGAGCCGTCTTTTGCTTTAAAATGCTTTAAGCCGCAGCACAGAAGAATGGGAAGATTAAAACAGCAGTTCTCTGTGCGCAAAGGTGCCCAAGCTGTTACGGGTTTTGGCGCCGCTGTCTCGGCTCTGATCCATTAGAATGCTCAGCTGCACATATGAAAAGTACGCGGTTCGAAATGGCTGTTATTTCAAAGAACGTGGACTATTTTAAACTACGCGGTTAACCGGTTTCAACCGGTTAATGAGGCTCGGTGGTCGGTCATGAAAATTCATAGTTTTTTACATCCCTACTAGTGACATTTGGAAAAGTTCTGCATTAATATAGGAACCAATTTCTCCCAGAAAGATGGCCTTTTTTCCTTCTTTATTTTTCAACTATTTTTACAATTTCAAATCTTGGTATCGCATTACAATGTCATGTCTTTGTTATTGTATTGTCTGATTCTACTGTGAGGTTAACACATAATGGCTATGCTATAAAGTGAAATGTATACAATTGTGTCTAAAACTGTAACTATCAGTGAGAATATACTTGATTTTTGATTCATCCTAAAACTGATCAGTTCTATTTGGGACCTGTTTCAGGAAAATTCCTTCATTTGATTAATCTAAATATTTTAAGGACAATCAGAGCAGTTTTATTTATTTATGCATCACTATTAAAAATGAATGAAACTGCATATTGACAGAGTTTATTCATCAGAAATCTATAACATTTCATAAATAGTAAAAGAGATGAACACACACACTTTAATGGAAGAAATATCCACTTTGTCCAGAAGAGAGAAACATAAAATGCATGTTGGCACTAAGGAACCATGCAAACATCAAAACAAGACAGTCATCACTGGCCTCACGTTTTGACAAAGCAATTTTTGATGTATAAAAATAGATAAACACATTTTATCCATATTTATCTACACTAAGACAAAACATTTATACAATAAAAAAGTAACAGTTCTCCCACGGAAGTATTGTATGTCACTATGGCTTTAATCAGTAGGCTATTTTTACAAGTGATTTGAAAGACCCACAGAATCATCAATAAAATTGTTAAAAAGAACAAAAGAAAAATCACGAAGCTATGGTGGAGGCTCCATCACATGTTTGTTTGTGTCTGTAGTCCAAATGCTTTGCTCTACAATATTCCATTCACTTCTCCTTAGTAACATGCCATTCACAGCTAATGAGATTCCAGTAATTATAAGAATGAATGCTGTTTATTGAGCATTACACGTGATATTGATTAAATGCTAGACCAGTGTAATGTGGAACCTGTGGTGCGCCTATATTTCCAGCCATTTTAAAGGACACATAATGATAAAAAAAAATTCCCTTTAATCCTTAATGCAATACAGCTCAATCATTTAAACCACACTTGTTTTTGTTTTGAGGTTGTTATCCTACCCCCTTCACCTCACACTATTTTCACAGCAATTTGAGTTATTTTACCTATTTGTTCAAAGCATTTTCTGCCACCAAATGAATTCATTACAACTGCATGCTTACATAAGATTTCCCATGTTCAATATATTTAGAGCTGTACTTCCAACTCCTACCATTAGATGACAGTGCTACTCCAAAGGCCCTTAGTGAGTGCTGATTATTATTTTAAATTCTAATCAAACATGAAATGCCAACGCAATCAAGATTCAGTTTTGAGACTAAATTACATAAATAATGCATAATATGTGTTCTTAAAATGGTTTTACCAGGCCTACACATAATATTAAAAACTAATGATATCAACCCATCCCCACAGTTAACACACACACACTTGAACAGATAACTCATTGTGTTTATCGGTTGATTAATTATAGCAAACGGCTTCTCCGCAGGGTTTACAGCAGCAGAGACTTCACGCTAACCGAGTTTGGAGAGCCACAGACGCAGATGCAAATAGACACTAAGTAGTATCCGACTGTGCACATGCGACCTAAACTATGTCAACAATCCTAATGAAATATCTATGGTGAGCGAGGCAGTTTGGTGCATACTAGTGCATATTTTAAAAAGGCACGTCTACCCTGCTTTAACATTCATTGGTATCGAATTGTCCGTATTTACAAACGAGGGTGTACAAACTCATTGAACAATGCACAATGCAGAGGTCGAGCGAAATTGGATTGAAAATAGAATAGCTCAGGAGAGGGCAATGTTGAGCTTTGAAACAGCTTACAAATGAATTCACTTTTTCACACGCCAATTTTTCTCAATATTTAAGTGACTTTGTGTTAAAGTGGTTCACAAAGTCATTTATCTCAGCTCTTTGTCAAATATGTGTTGATATCTGTTCTTAACATTTGAAAGAAGATTTTAAAGTAAGTAAGTTTTTATTTATATACCGCCTTTTCACTGCAGATCTGAGTCTCAAAGCGGTTTACAATTGTTAATTTTGGGCATTTGTCTCTCACTCCACACAGAGATGGGAGCGGGGTCGCCAGTACAGGAGGCGCATGCCAGAACTATTGGACATATTTTTAGTGGTAGGGGAAACCGGAGTGCCCGGAGGAAACCTACGCAGACACGGGGAGAACATGCAAACTCCACTCAGAAAGGCCCTGGTCCGACCGGGATTCGAACCCAGGACCTTCTTGCTGAGAGGCGAGAGTGCTATCCACTCAGCCACCGTGCCGCCCAAATAAATTGGACATTGTTGTGCAAAGTTATGTTTGACCTGTAGGTGGCACTGCTGTATCATCACACACACTCTCTGAAGCTATGATGAATAGTTGTTTGATTAATTGACAATTGAAAATCTATTCTATTTCCATTCTCATTCATCACAACATTTGGGAACATGGGTGGTTCTTTCCCTGGCTCAAATTATGAAATTAAAGAACAGTAAAAGTCTTTTAAAGGTGCACTTTGTAAAATCTCCGGTTGATGGTCAGAAAGCGGCTTGGAGATGTAATTGTAGGGCTCATCTCCAATGTCAAAAGTATGTATTGGTCATAACAACTGCAATAATTGAAAACAATAGGGTTTTTATAATTATACAGAGATTCATAATTTCTATGGGGGCAAACAGGAGGCCTGTCCACTATCAGAGAAGTTCCACAGTGCACCTTTAGCAGAAGACTCATTTGTTAAAATACATTTGACTAAAGCCAATTCATATCAGTGCAGTGACAGAGATGGAAAAAGGTAAAAATTGCTGCTTATATTCACATTTTAAACACAGAGACTCCACAACAAGGTAGTATTTATGATAATTCTAGCATGTTTGGACTGTCCTAATAGATTAATAGATTAGATGTAGCAACCACAAAAATGACTTATATCTAATATATAAGCCTATACCTAAAACAATTAGATAGTTCTTGGATGCTACTGGGGTTGCAAAAACTTTGGCAAACCATATGTCAAGTTAAAAAAATAATAATACTGGAATCAACCTAAATACTACTCCTGCTTTTTTGAGCAATGTTATGAAGTCAATTTCTTCCAGTGATTTACCTGATACAGTACCACAGCTTCCAAAACCCACTTCTGATAAAAAGCATTTTAAATTCACAGTGGACTATTCTTCACTATTGTAACTGTTTCTCGGGTCTGAGTGGTCACACAAACATGGCGGGGGATATAAAGCTCTCTGCACGGTTCACGTTGGGTCTGTAGTCCTCCTCCCCGCCTGTCTGCTTGTAAGGGGGGGGCACCTCAGCGTTTCCCGGGTCGTCCCAGCCGGAGGGGGCCGCGGAGTAGTAGTGCTCGCGACTTTCATCCACGTCTTCGTCATCGTAATGCGCGTCAAGGTCCTGTCGGAAACACAAGGTAAAGGTTTGTAACAGGAGAAAGGCAGCAATGTCGTTTTGAGAGGAAAGAAAAAAATAAAATCAATTATCTATGGTGTTATCTATGGCTTTTTGGCCTGAAAATAGTCAAAAATGGGGCGATCAAATGGAATCATGGGAAACAAATAGGTATCTAGCCCAAATCCACTTCAAGAACTGTTAAAAGAAGAATTGATAGATTGATACAGTGGAACACTCTGTGGTTATGGCCAATCAGGACTCTGTGATGTTTGTGATGAAGAGATACACGATACAATAACTTCATAATTGGAAGTGGTAGATATTTTTACTTGAGTACGTAAGTAATCAATCTTTATTTATATACCGCCTTTCACAGACCAGAGTCACAAAACGGTTTCCAATTGTTATTTTTTGGGCATTTGTCCTCTCACTCCACACAGAGATACTGGGAATATGTTTTCCTAGTATCAATACTTTACTTTTTCTAACCCTCTAACCCTAACCCACTTTTAACTTTTACTTCTTACATTAGAAAATGGCAAGTTGCTTTGCAGTTGGCAGTGCAAAATAAAAACAGGTTGGAAGTGGTTAGCCGTGCTTCTAAATCAACCATTTGTCTTCAGTTTTACATGAATTCTTTATAGGTTGTGTTCTTGTGCTAGAAATATATTTGGGTGTGTTCACAGTAAAGTGTAAATTAAAGTATCTGGACTTTAAAAGGTTATAACTCAAAAGTTTGTTACCTTCACTGACACAAATAGTAAACATGTCTCTGTCGTCAGGAACATTTCCTATGGCCCTAAAAACAGCAGTCATAAGACCTCTCCTAAAAAAGAGCAGTCTGGATCCTGCGGGACTTCAAAATTATCGCCCCATATCGAATCTGCCATTCATTGGAAAAATTCTTGAAAAAGTGGCCTCCCAACAACTTACTGAATTTTTAACAATGAATAATTCTTTTGATATCTTCCAGTCTGGGTTTAGACCCCACCACAGCACTGAGACCGCTCTAGTGAAGGTAACAAACGACATTCGACTTCACACTGATGCAGGTAAAGTCACAGTTTTGGTCATGTTAGATCTTAGTGCCGCGTTCGACACTGTCGACCATGAGATCCTCATGCAGAGACTAGAGGACTGGGTTGGTGTCACTGGCACAGCCCTAGACTGGTTTAGGTCTTACCTGGAGGATAGGAAGTACTTTGTGGAGATTGGAGACTGCGTCTCAGATCATGTGGCCCTGACCTGTGGAGTACCACAGGGGTCGATCCTGGGACCTCTCCTATTTAATCTCTACATGCTGCCGTTAGGTCAGTTAATACAACGAAACAAAGTGTCCTACCACAATTACGCTGACGACACTCAGATCTATGTCTCACTGACTGCAGGAGAACATGGACCACTGGATTTGCTCCTTCACTGTATCCAACAGATCAGTGACTGGATGCAAAATAATTTCCTCCAGCTAAATGCAGACAAAACCAAAATCATTGTCTTTGGTCCCCAGAAACAAAGAGAGGGCGTCATTTGTCAACTTCAGTCTCTCTCCCTACTTCCTTCAGACAAGGTCAGAAATTTGGGGGTAATACTGGACTCAGACCTAAATTTCAATAGCCACATAAAATCAATAACATCAACAGCTTTTTACCATCTGAAGAACATTGCCAAAGTTAGAAATATAGTGTCCAGGGCAGACTTGGAGATTCTTGTCCATGCATTTGTCTCCAGCAGGCTAGACTACTGCAATGGCCTGCTTACAGGTCTGTCCAAACAGACCTGTAAGCAGCTGCAGTACATCCCAAAATGCAGCAGCTAGAGTCCTGACAGGAACCAGGAAGTATGACCATATTAGTCCGGTCCTCAGGTCTCTGCACTGGCTTCCTGTGGCTCAGAGAATAGATTTTAAAACAGCTCTGCTTGTGTACAAGTCTCTCCATGGCCTTGCACCAAAATACATTAGTGACATGTTGGTGTCATATGAACCGGCTCGGACTCTGAGGAGCACAGGGACTGGCCTCCTGCTGGTGCCCAGAGTGAGAACCAAACATGGGGAGGCTGCGTTTCAGATCCATGCAGCTAAGATTTGGAACAATCTCCCTGAAAATGTGAGGGAGGCGTCTACTCTGTCAATGTTCAAATCCAGGTTAAAGACTGTTCTGTTTGCCTGTGCATACAACTGAAGGATTTTATCTCCATTTCTAATGCACTGTTGTCATTTATTTATTTATTTTTTTAAATTTCTTGTGTAATTTTGAAAGTTTTAATGGTTTTATTCTTTTGTGTGATTTTAATGTTTTAATTGTGTTTTAATCTTTTGTGTGATTTTAATGTTTTAATTGTGTTTTAATCTTTTGTGTGATTTTAATGTTTTAATTGTGATTCTGGTGTTTGTTTTATGTGATGATTTGTGATGTGGACTGTGAAGCGCTTTGTGTTGCCCTGTGTATGAAAGGCGCTCTACAAATAAACTTTGATTGATTGATTGAAAAACCACATTTACTATCATAGATTGGAAAGAAAAAGATTTCAAACACAGACATATCAAAGAGATATTCTGATATCAAAAGAAAAGATTGACAATTTCAGTTTTGGCAAAATTTTAAACAACCAGATCAGCCTCTGTTTTGATCATTCTACAGTGACACCAGTTACATGGGAAATAAAAGGTCATCAGTGAAAAGTGACAGATGAACTCCCACAAGACTAACAGGGCTAACACTACACTACACTATCACTTAGAAATAGGAATCATTAAAGAAAAGAAAAAATGACCCTTGAAAAATGTGTAACGGACGTGATGGTTTCCGTCAATTTTTTTCTAAAAATTAAACTTTGTTTCTACTCAGGATCTCGTCCTTTACAAAAAATAAACAGAACCGCTGACCTTGATAAATGTGTAAAACAGTTATCTTCCAGCAACTTTTAATGGACAGAGAAGGTATTTGGATAAATGAAAAACAAAATATATCTTCTGTTTGTTCAAATCACATTTTTGGCCTTTTGTCACACTTTTGTACCCTTTAGTGTGAACAAGCCCATTTCAGTTGGAGGGCAGGTGCCAACACAACTCTATGAGAAAGAAGTCATTCTTGAAAGTCTTAATAACGTGTTTACATGCATGGGATAGGGTAACTGAGGACACATGAACACAGTTTGTTGTTTGTTTATCTGTGTGTGCTGGAATGTGCTCTTATTTAACATCTGATGAACTACATTTCCCTCTGGATTAAAAAGGTATTTGAGTAATGGACCAAGAAATGCATGAAGTGTGCCTTTAACAGGAAAAATGCCAATCATCTTTATGACTTTATAACAATGGTATGAATGACTTTGTTGGAATGTGGAACTTGGGCTCTTAATTATACAAAGAAATGTGGCAGAACTATGTGTGTGCTCAGCATGGCGAGAAGTGAACTCGGACATGTGTGTGTTGTAGAATATTTGCAGATTTTAAGTAAGGTCATTATTATTTCATGAATGCACCAAGACATGTTTAAGGTTAAACTATTTAAAAAAAATAGCAGCCATTGAAACGTGCATACAGCAGAGCATCCAGGCTATTGAACAACATATCAATGGCGACTAGCCAGCAGCAAAATGTAGAGAACCAACTCAAAAATTGGAGAATTTTCATGTTTTGTTAAAGACCGAACAAAGAAAGTTCAGCAAAACCAATCAGTTTATAATATGACTAAAAAGTTGGCCCTGTTTGACACAAATGGGAGTGGACCTGTTTAACTAACATGTCTGTAATAGAATCAATTAAAAAGAACAGTGTAATTAAAGTATGTAGTACTCATTTACCGTAACAGGCTCAGTGTTCTGAATCCTGGTGAAGTCATTCTGAAGAGGTCTCGTCTCAGCCGGCGGCTCCTGTCTGATGATGGTCATTTCCTAAAACACAACCACAATCATAGACACACTCTGAGAAAATTACACAGGAAAACAAGACTATCTTATTCTCTAGAAGTAGAAGTTGGGTACAATGCAAAAGAGGAAGACTAAAGACAGTGCTTCTCGAACTGATTTAGTAACAGTATCTAACAGTCCTATTGGAGTAATATTGATGATCAGAAATGCACGTTTTACCTATCCCCGTCCGTTACTCTTTTTCAATATATACTGTATGTATATATATATATATACACACATGAAATATGTCTACAATCTCTCTTTTTACCTTTATAACAATGATAAAAAGAGAAAAACTGCATCATTGCGTTTCCAGTTCATTCTTTTTTCTTCCATGATCCCCTGACGGTACCGTCACTGGGTATACGTACCACAGAAACAACAAGAGGTGGGGCAGTTATATGGAAATTATTGCATTTTCTTTACAACAGAATGCATTGCCACATGATCCAACATCTCAATGAAAAGTAAGTATCATATTATATATAACAAACATATTTTTTTCTTTTTTTATAGCATGATACTTACTTTGCTCTGCTAATGAAATCATTAATACAGTGTACTATCAAAGTCACGATGAGGGGGGCACACAGAGGAAAGATGGATGAGACAAGCGAGCAAAACACATTACGCCATCACATTAGCAGTACTAGTTTATGTGTGGTGACTCACCCTGTTAGCAGTGCTGTTGTTCTTGTTGGGTGGGGGGGGCTTGTACTTGGGGGGACCACTGAAACATTACATGAAAACGCAGTCGGGTTAAATAGCAATAGTAATGTAAACTACACACATTTCCATATAAAAACAATATAAACAGGCACTCACTCGCCGTTGATTTTGCCACGGTGCTTGCGGTACATGGCGATGGCTGTTCCGATGATGGCCAATAAAATGATCACTCCGATGATTGCGCCGATGATGCTGCCAGTGGTAGCACCCTTCTCTGGGAGTCGAGTGCCTTTGGGGTGACAGAGAAAGAAAAGAAGGTTAAAGTGGCAGGTTTAGAAAAAGTGTAAAGGAAAAAAAATATGTGCTTGAGACCGGCAAATTATTATTTTTATGAGCAGCAAGGACAGGAGAGTTTGTGAACGCAATGCAGACACTTGAAAGACATAGTAAAGAAATTGTACATTTTACGAGAATACAATAGTTTTCAAATGGCCACCAACAGCATACCTGTCTAATATATTGAAGACAAAGCGCAATGTTGATACAATTTTCAGTCCACATACAGGGGAAACTCAATACATGAGCCTTGTTACATGCAGATTTACAAATGCCATGCCTTTTTGTTACTGTGTTGATGATTACAGCTTACAGTCCATTCTCAAAATATTCAAATTTTCTGAGCCGTTTCACTGGGGATATTTACAAGCTGTGAACCATATATTAATGTCACATTGGGAGTTGAATTGCATAAGTAATAGGAACTTTCAATTAATGTCTAATGTTCAGAGTTTCACCCGTATTTGATACAAAATGTAACCATCATGTCCATTTACGTCGTGGAGCAAACATGGTAGAAGATCATAATTGGGATTTGGCATGCATTCATTTGTCCCCCATGTGTGCCAAATGTAGATTCTAAGAAATACTGTATGAAAAGGAGCAGTTTTCTAAAGGTAGAAACAGTGATTGTCAGACCAATGATGATTACTTATAAATGCTTGAGATCATTCCATGCAATCTACTTCAATCAGTGCAGTTGCTTATAATCCAGCCAACGTGTTTACCATTGCGAGGCAGGATCCTTCTTTCAGCACTTCTCTTCACTCTGAACGCCCCGTTTTCTGTTAACGACTTTTTAAAAACATTTCCAACACATCAACAGGGCCATCAACCTGGTGCCGTAACTCCACACCTGCTTTGATAAACAGCCACCTCCTTTGAGAGCGTGTTGATCCATTTACCACGTGCTGAGGTTTTAAGATACAAAAAGAATCTATGCCACCTCCCTTTAGATTTCTGCTTGTGACCTGCCCCAAAGGAGCCAACATCTAACTGCTAACTAATTATGCCAACATAATAGCAGTACAAGCCGACTACTTCCGCATCGTGTAATTGGAGCGCCTTGTCTCCGCAGGACTGGAGACTCAGGCTAGACTTGTCATTGAAAAAAGAAATAATAAAAGGGCGATGAAACGTTGCTTGATTAAGTCGCATGGGTGATTACATCGAAGCGGAAAGATCCATGCGGAGGTCTCCCGCTATAATGAAGTTGAGCACACACGCACGCCCATTCATTGTCTGTTTACCAAAGGTGCTACGGAGCTCATTATCCCACCATTCCCAGCGGATTATGCAAATGACAGCGCATGGAAAAGGGCAGAGCGGATTTGGAGTCGCGTTTGATGAGACAACCCTTGGTCCTGGTAATTGGATAGGTCGTGATTGAATATAGTGTACTGACGACTGCTCAAATACTAGGCAGTTTTGGACTACACTGTGAACCCAAAAAATTACATTCTTGCAGAAAACAGGACTAATGATCTGTGTTCTTGGCATAAACTATTCATATCGCAAACCATAGCACCAGGCTCTCAAATGGCAGACTGGGGTAACTTCAGCTACTGCATGAGTTGTGCATGAATATAATGTAGATTTAGTTGCGTAGGATATTGTAGATTAAAAGTCTGCCACCAGAGCGGAACACCATGCTATCTTTCCATTAGCATGCACACAGGATGCTTTTTCTATTCTAATACGTACAGTACTGTAGTTAGATGAAGTACTATCACTTTAAACCAGAGACTGCTGACCCCGTGACCAGGTGATGGATAAAGCAGAAGCAAATGAATGGCTTGAAAAAAAGGTAAGGTAACAGGTTATAGAAAATCAAGTGCAGCTGACAATTTGAGGAGTTTGCTGCATATAAATAATGATACAGTGGCAGTACCTGTGGTTTTCATTGGATTTAAACCTCTGTTCTTAATTAAAATATTTTGGCATGGGTGCAAATGTTATAAAAAATTATGGATGTGCTTTATAATGATCAGCAATAGTACTCACAGCAAGGAATGTTTTTTTCTGCCGTTTCTAGACAGGGATTTTTTCTTAGCCCTCTTGTGTTTGAGCTCCCACTTTCTGATCAATGTCACTCCAATTGAAAGGAACGGTACCAGCGAACACACAGATTACACATTTTATTAATGCTGGGGTACATGTCATGGTTTTATCTTGTGGTTCCACTTTCCATAAGACCAGATTCACTTCCACATCTGTTCTCTAGGTTTGTATGCAGCTTGAATTTGTACATTCTGATTTTACATTGTTTTGAAAAAGAACAATGCTACCTGCCCAAGTCTCATGCATCTTTTCTTGACATTGAAATATATTAGAGGAGTGGAAGCCTTTCTGAAATGTATACCCAATACATTTTTTGTAAAAGATGCATTTGATGATTTTATACCTAATATGTTCTTCTGCTTTTTAGTTGTTTTTTTGGGGGGCGAGAAAAATCGAATATGGACAACTGAGGTGGCAAAATTAAAGACAACAAGGAACGATCGTGGAAATTGTCCTTAAAAGATCAAAAGCTCTGCGTGTGTTGTAATGCAATGAGTCGAAGCGAGGATGGCGCATTGTTTGACGGCCTCAAAAGATGAAAAGAACTGCAGCTTTTTTTTGACTGTGACAATGACTAGAGAAAGCTTTTGTTACTTCATTATATTTGTTTGTGTTTTATCTCATAGACTGAAAATCCCCAGCCTCTTGGGTAAATGTTGTATTTTAAGAGCAAAAAGCAGCATGTGGAGAAAGCGGCTAGTGTCTGCCAATAAAGGAACAATCGTTTATTTCTGGTTTGTGAGTAATTCCATGCTAATAATTATATCGTCTACACACTAGATATTCGCAATTGAAAAAGAAAATCAATTTCCAGAATTTTGTATCTTTTCTTTTTATTATTGGCTTGGTATTGACAAAATAGAAATGCAACTTGGTTGCTTGTCTTTATATCTTCCCAAAACAACAATGATGAAATATTACACGGCCATGGAGAATCTTTCCTCACAAACCTTGGTATGTTTCAGAGGAGAGAGGAAGAATGATACACTAGTAATATTAAAATTGTGTATTTATAGTACAGGTGCAGGTGTTATTTGCAAAAAATACTGGAATTGGGCAAGTAGACCCAAGGCACACTGGCTAGTATATTAAAAGTCCTTTAGCACACACCAGACACCAACACGTTTCAACTAAAGGGGTTTTTGTCTTAATCTTTATTGTCATTTTAATTGATCCCCTAATCAATAGCTAATAACATCATTCATGCAGCTTCAGTATTATACAATCCATAAAGTAGCAACAAAATCGAAAAATTGCATCTGATGGATTACTGTTTTGGAGAAAGAACAGAGTCAGGGACCTTTTTCTTTCAAACTTTGGTAGTTTGACCCCATAACTCTTCAAAAGTTGTACATAATATCAACTATATATATATAAAAATGCATAATAATAAAGGAGATGCACTTGGCTATGGTGTATGGTCAGAGAGTGTTTGGCCTTGGATCTTGTGTGTGTTTTTTTTGGCTTGTGTTGAAGGATTGAGAGGGGTTGGAGGCAAACAAGCGTTTGATTCATCAAACCTTTTATGTCTGCTTATTTATTTTTACTGTTTGAAAAAAAAAAAAACTACTTGATGTTCTTTTTCTGCCTGGAAACCTTGAATAGGATTTTAACTCCCAGCTCTAACTAAAAAACACACATCTACCAAATTATGTAGTCAATTATTTCGGCAAAAACGTTTTAGATGCTATTAGGCATGATTTGTGAAGAGGCGACTACTAACTACATGCTTTACAATATGTGAATTATAGAGCCCTTGTAATTGATTTACTATACACTTTCCAGGCAAAACATCATGAAAACCAGCAAGAAGCAAATCATCCATCTGAAAAAGTTACATAGTGCAACTTTAATGATGCCATATTTCTTAGAGTGCCATAGAGTTCACATTGATGCGATCTTGCAGCATGTTTTAGTACACCAATTAAAATCCAGCAATTAACATGTAATAGGCTTATACGACTGGTACAAGAACGACTTTGATGGAATATGACAGGCGCACGGTTCTTTATTTAAAAATATTGTGCCATCATAAATGAAAAGCAATTATTCAGAAGCGGGCGCCGGGATCTTTAAAGCGATGTAGCGCGAGCTTGTAAAACACGTTTTAATGCTCCTATAAAAAAACAACTTTGAGCCGTAAAAGCAAGAATGTGAATGGTAAATGAATGGAGGCAAACAACAGGTTTTTACAAGTGGGATCGTAAAAGACGCACCACAGTGTTTTTCATTAAGGCAGTGCAACGATAAGAATCGAGGAGCAACTATTTGACTTTTTACTTTCTTCATATAACTTCTCATTTATAGCAGAAGCATTGGATTCTGTGATGGTGGATGCGTTCAGGTGTGCAGCCAAAATAAGGGACCCCCACAGTGCAGGCAATGTACCCATGCACCTGCTCCACCTCCGCACTACATAAGCACGATGGTCCAGGAGCATCACCACAGGCCTGAGTATGTTTGCTGTCGTATATACTGTATATACATACACTCCCCATGCAGGCAAATGTATAGGAGTATAGTGCAATGACTTACCACTAAGCCCATAGTAAAAGGGGGCAGGAGTGAGAATATTCAAAGATAATATATGAAACATATTGTATGTCACTGTATTTCAGAAATCAAGTCAAATGTGGAAACGGCAAAGGATCTATGTATATATAACATCATAATAATAATATTTTATTTTGCACTGGGGTTGTGCTAAATGAGTTCAAGTATGTTTAGGGAGTTCAGACTTTTTTTTTTATCTTGTGCCTGTGAAGCACTTTGGGCAGCTTTGGGGTATACAAATCAAGGTGGCATTGACATAAAGAGTTTGAAATCCCCGGACGAACAATAGTGGCACGGTGGCTGAGTGAATAGCACTCTCTCGCTTCTCAGAAAGAAGGTCCTGGGTTCGAATCCTAGTCGGGTCTTTCTGAGTGGAGTTTGCGTGTTCTCTCCGCGTCTGTGTAGATTAACTCTGGGTGCTCCGGTTTCCCCTTCCACTAAAAACATGTACAATAGGTCTGGCATGCGCCTCCTGTATGGCGACCTCGCTCCCATCTCTGTGTGGAGTGAGAGACAAATGCTCACAATTGTAAAGCGCTTTGTGACTCTGGTCTGTGAAAGACGCTATTTAGAGATCACATAAGACAAGTGACTCATTATTAAAGTGGAGTTCAACTTTATTGTCCACTGCATTTGATCCATCCTTCCAAGGCAACTTGAGCTTCTGTTAGGAGCAGTAGTCCTCATAGTACAGCACCTGGGGCCCATGCTAATGCTCTGCTCGGTCAGGACAACCAGAGCTGGAGAATATGAACATTTGTACATGTTTTTAGTGGTAGGGTAAACGAGAGCACCTGGAGGGAATCTACGCTAACATAGACAGAACATGCAAACTCAGGAAGGCCACTGTGTCCAGGTTTTCATTCCGGAACATTTAACTGATTTCCGTGTAGTGAAAATTGTGATCTTGTTTTTTGTGGCATATTTGCAAAAGTGCCATTATCAGAGTAAATATACTGTAGGTATAGACATCAGACTCATCATTGATGCTCCTCATTAAGACATCAATACCAACTTCACTTAAGAGTAGGAACAACTCTTTTCTTTGGTGCATCTGGTGTTCAGTGTCTCGCTTCTATCCTCACCGTGTGTGGAGTGCTGTGTGACCTTGGTCTGTAAAAGGCGTTATATAAATAAAGATCACTTATGTCCTTGTTTATATTGCACAGCATGTCTCCTTTGAAAATGTTCTTTCCGTGAGAACGTGTGCCGGTGATAATATTTGAAGGTAAAGATGTGCATTGCTTAGTTTATCCGTTTACACTTGCACCTCTCAGGTCAAATAACCTTCAAAAGTGCTTTCCCTTCATAAAGTCGCACACTCGACTTTAAAACTTGGAGATAAAGTGCTCTGTAGGACTCCTCCATCAGGCCCGTTAGTGAAGGGTGCTGTAGCTAAGGAGCTTATAGCAGCACACTGCGCTTTGGACCAGCTCCAGTTTGCCTACCAGGCGAAACAAGAAGTGAAGACGCCAGGCCGACTTCTTAGCAACTCTGTAAAATCAACTATTGGTATTTTTTCATTACAGAAAACATATAAGCACTTGTTGCCTCAAGGAGCAACAAACACAGTTTAGGATATTCCGGTGGATGGAGTCCAAAAGTTTGAGTGAAAATGTGTGAAAGCGAATTATCTCACCACGACCAGAGACCTCCAGGCTGTGTAGTTCAAATGATATGACAAACTTTCATTGCAGGTAAATAGAAATCGTTACAGCTTATGTGTTTGGCTTAAAAAGTTCAGATAAGATAACCTTTATGTGTACCACAGTAGGAATTTAGGAATTAAAATAACTTTAAGGTTCACTTTTGGATCAATGTCCATTGAATCACTACTCACAAACAATACATTAACAACAGAAATCACCTCAGTTTAAAAAATAATAATATTGTGCTTTGGTCTGCTACATATAGTAGTTCCATCTACGGCACCTATGAAGGATTATTGGAGAATTACTTTGTCTTATATTTCGAACATTGTGTATTTCAGAACAAATGTTTTTCAGGACATTTCCTCTATGTAGCACTTTTATAACTGCTGCTGCAATAGAGCTCAAGATTGAACTCCATGATGCAGCAAGATTGTTCATTTCAAAAACAATTTAATGAAATGAAAATGTCGACATACAAGATACGCCTGGGTTACGATGCCCAGTAGAATTCAGGTATTTTTGAATGCATGCCACGTTAAGTCATTATTTTGAAATCTTTGGAAGGTTTTTTTGACGTTTCATTTGGAGCCCTTTTCACTATTGCGACCCTATAATCACATGCAAATAACCGGGATTGC